AATTTGATTTGATATTATTTTTTATTCGAATAAATATTTAATTTAATTTGTTATATTATTAAAAAAATATAAAAAAATATCACTTAATTTTTTATATCATTAAAAGATATTTTTTTTATTAGTAATGTGGGACCCATTTGAATAGATTTGGTGCCATGTCAACCAAAGGCAAATTTCTTTATTAATGATGTGCGACCCATTTGAATAGATTTGGCACATAGTAACATGACATGTCAAAATATTTGTCCATATCATCACTTTTCTCAATTTTGCTCTCCACATCATCAAAAAAAATATTAAAAATGCCATATAAGCGAAGTTAATGGCTCAAATTAACAGAAGGACTAATGGAGTGCAGTTTTTATAGTTGAGGGATAAAAAAAGTACAAAAAATTGTTGAGGGATCAAAAATGTGTATTTCTTAAAGTTGAGGGACCAAATTTAGCATTTAATCTTACTTTTACTCTAAATCACAATTGTTCTGTTTTTTTTTTGAACAATTTGTAATTATTTACAAAGTTAATTGGGGGAGGAAGGAAAAGGAATCTGTGGGGCTCGAACGTGCAACCCATTAGAGGTAAACAGTCCTAACCCAGGGTCCAATGCCACTGGGTCGGAGTAGACCGTTCAACCACAATTGTTCTTTAACTATCTTTCAAGTAGAGATTAAACTCCTTTCATTTGTCAATTGGGAATCGTCACCAAGGAAGAGTAAACATTGTACAATAGGGTTTCCAATCCTACGTAGAGCTAACTAATTAAAATCTTGATGACTGTTATTACAACACAAAGCTCTGTAATAAAACTAAAGGAGAGAGGCTCACTCACAGAGATTACTTCCATCCAAGCTAGAACTTCAGTTAGTACTCCAAACATCCTACTTAGACTTCACCTACTACATACTCAGCAAACGTTAAATCAGCAACAATCAACTATAAACATGACAACATAGCAATGTTATTGGATGCTGACACTAAAATCATGCCCATGTCTCTCCACCTCCTCCCTTAGTATTTACAATCCCGAGATTTCGTGTTTTCTTGGTTGGCTTACTCAACTGAAATACAGGGTGCCTGCATAATTTCCTTGCTCCTTTCCTCAAACTTAGCCGGTTCAATTTTTGGTATCCAACTTTACATTCATTTTCTAAAGTTCCTGCTTCGGATGCTTCTGGTGTGCTGCTATCTGAATTAACGGACTCAAATTCCTCTTCTCCATCGCTTTTCTGAAAGCTCCAAAGTGTTTGCTCTGGGTCTGATTCCAGCCTACTGAGAGTGGCAGTCCTCAAGAACATAGCAGTTGCTGGTGCCTCTGGTGCAGAAGCATCTTGAACTTGCTTGCAGGATTCTTGTTCGTTTATGGTAGACAGATCAGAGTTACTCTTGGCAGAAGAATCCAAGCTTGATGACAATAGTCTTGAATTCTTGGCTGATTCCTTCCTCTCGTGAAGTGTCTTTAAGATGAGGGTTTTAAGGAAGTTCATTACTTGCACAGCATGAATCAATGCCGTCAAAGGATCAGCCATCTACATCAATAAAGACTATAATTAGACTTCCCATTGAAGACTAACAACTTGTTACCATAATATCATGACCAAAACGATGATATTAGATTGATAGTTGAATTCGTAGAAGCGACCAATAAGGCAAATATATGACATGCATCAGATTGATGAAACAGAATGACACAAGAAGTTGTACAAAACCTGTGTCATATTTGGTGCAAAAACCATTGCAATGTTGCGTGCATTCATTTTGTTGTACTGTTCATACTCCACGACATCTGTCATCAAATTGATAGCCCAGTCAAGCAGAGCAGCTTCTGTCGGAGGAAGTAACTTCACAAGTTGAGTGCAGTCTTCTTCAGAATTGCAGTGCATGCCCTGTTCTGGTGTGAGGGAATCAAGTACTCCAGTTGGAAGTTCTCTCAGCCATGCCTAGAAACGTTTTAAAAAATGAACCCATCAATGACAGGTTTTGTACACAGAATAATATCGGGCAAGTACACAGAATAATGGAATTCATTTGAAAGAGTAAAGACAGTCCAGAAATGTTGCCTATTGTCATTTAATCGTGCATACCTTTATCAAGCCTGCCAAACAATGGACATCAATCTCATGTGGTACTACACCTTTGTTTAGCTGGCCTCGGACAAACTCTTCTTGGCCATTGTCAGCATTAATTCGAAATATTCCTTCTGCCTTCAATATCAACACAATCAATCATGATCAATCAAAAGCTTACAAGCGTTAACTTAATTTAGCCATTAATTCAAAGTGTGGGGTTAAACATACCTTAAGGCCTCCTTCTGAATATAAACGTTTCTGCATCATAAGCAGAATTGTCGGTACACTGTTTCCTCTTTCATCATAAGAACACTGCATGGACTTGGCAGAAACTCCAAATACGCTAGCACTGGACAACAAAAGGAGTTCATCTTATAATTTCAATATGATAACAAAGAACCATAGAATCAATATAAACAAACCACACACACTACACAACATATTCAGAACATGGCTTTTGGTTACTTGAATGATGTTTCTTCCCCTGCTAGAACCTACATGGTATATCATCTTCTACTAGAACCTACCAATACATACCATAAAATAAACTAGCATAGTCTTTTTGGTACATGAGGAAGTTAGAGTTCTTAGCTGTTGTAAAGATCTGAACCGATCTTAACCCCAAATCCAAAATCAAGGTTTTGTACTAAGTCCAAATCAGCTAACCAATTGGAAGCAAAATACTCTACTAGTTTCGCTACCTATGTTACCCAACTACCACTCTGACAAATAATGTTTTTGAGTTAAGATGGAGCTCAATGCTGGTTAATGCACGCCAGGAAAGACCAAACAAATTAAAACACCAAGGAATGGCAGAAATAATACCACTCAGAGGCCATTTATCAACAGCCTCAGAATCAGATCAACAGAGCCATTTTCATTAAATTTCTTACAGATGGATTACAACTACTTACACCCAATAATGCAAATCAAAGAACCATGATTGCATCCTAAATTCCTAATACATAACACCAATAGCCTCTAAAAACAACTATAGATATGAAACATTAGTACAATACACAATAACTGCTTCATCTAACATTTTACAAGTAGTTAGCATGTTCATTTCTTCTACAAAAAAGATAAGATTGGATTAAACACATCTAGCAACCAATACAGCAAAGAACATTCCTTTCAGTACTCAACATCCTACTCAAATTTGAAGGATGAACTAAAACCCGCGGCACGGTGCTTACAGACAGATACTTATGTTAATGTATGATTAACAAGTACACAAATATACAAAGTTCTTATCCTACCCTAATCAATTGTGAAGATTAATTAACTTAATTTAATATTAGAATCCAATTATCCATAATTAGCAACCAAAATGAACTCAAAAAGAATCCCAGAAATTGAAGAAGCGAACCTGGCGCTGGGTGCCTTCCAGGGAACCTCCGGCTGGAGCTCGGTGGGCAACCCGAGGAACCCATTAAACCTGTCGAAGGTCACGTGCGACACGTGCTTGACTTCCGTTGGCCAGCTGATGTCCATCGACGACACCTCTTCCCTGTCGACGCTGCAAGTGACCAGCGACTTCCGCAACGCCGCCGCCAAAATATTCAGAATCGTAAACTGATTGTCCTTGGATTCAGAATTACTATTTCGCCCCTCCACACCAAATTTCGAACCCCGACCTATAAAACGCGTTGCAATCTGGTTTTTCGTAATTTCATTGCTCTCATCAGTATCATCATCTTCCTCTCCAAATTCTTCTTCTTCTTCCTCCTCCTTCTCCTCATCATCATTGTCTTCCACGTCGCTTCTATAATTCCGGTGAAAGAACGGACCCTCTGCAAGTCCGAG